TACAGCAGAAAGCTTTGCTTTAATTTGGAACCGTATATTTCCTATAGTCTCGTTGCTTGGAGCCAAGCCGCGAATACTCATCTAAAGAAAATCGTCATTTTACAAAAGCGGGTTTTTCGTCTAATGTACTTTTCCGATTATACATCTCACAGTGCTCCTCTTTTTAGTCGTTCGGGAATTCTACCGATAAAAAGGCTTTACTTCAAATTGGTTGCCTCTTTGTTACATGACATCAAAAATCGCTGTGCTCCTCCCAGTATTTCTGAACTTTTTACTCACTCTGAAAGGTTCATTCCTACTCTACTCGTTTCTCAGTAGCTGGAAGCTTTTATATAAAACAGGCGAGAACAAATCATCAATTGCTTTACTTTTCTAGAGTTGGTGCGAAAATATGGAATGGCATCCCCCCTGAAATTCGTAAGCTTAGGAAAGCACCTTTTAAACGTGAGCTAACTCACTTGCTTTTGAAATGTTTGAGATTGAGGAGATGAATGTTGACGTGCGCTACCTTGACCTTTCTAGCTTATATTTGTATTTCAACTGATTAGCTTTCTCTTTGACCTATTAAAAACTCCCTTGTGTGACTGGCCCAGTTAAAACCCTGAACATGATTATCACTACTATTATTTATTATTTATTTTTATTTGCTCATTTATCTATTTATTTCATTTTTGCGTGTGTGTGTGTGTGTGTGTGTGTGTGTGTGTGTATGTGAGAGCCTATACAGTGTCTGTTTAGGTAGCCCGCCTAGAATAGCTACGCTAACTGCGGGCTACAAAAGCCTTTATATCTTTAATTTAAAAAAAAATAATGATAAAGTCAAAAAGTCAAGTCAAAGTTGAAGCTTTTAATTCTCGTTTAGTTCCTTCGACTTCTTTCTCCAATTGTTTCATTGAAGATTCTACCTTTTTCATGATTCCTTTTACTTCTGTATCATTCTGATACCAGCGCTGCAATTCCTCCACATGTCTCATGTCGTCTTCAGTGAGAGGATCTTTTAAAAATGTAGCAAAAGCATTCTGCCATTCTTTTGCCTTTGCAGGGCTGATCTGACCCAAGCTGATCATTCATGTTCCCAACTGCTTTCCTAAGGTTTTCCATTTTTCTTTGATGGCCTGATTCACTGGCGTCTCCCCTTCAGCCACTCTTTGTAGCTGCTCAGTTATATGAAGAGTGGTTTCTTGTAATTCTTCTACATATTTCTTTACTTCCAGATCCCGTCTATACCAGTCGAGCAGTTCCTGTACATATCTTTCATCCTCTGTTGTGAGGGGATCCTTTAGAAATTTATTAATGGCTACCTGCCAGTCATGCTTCTTTGAAGGATGGATTTGGCCTGCAATTCTCACGAGGGTTTCACTGATTTCACGCCACAAGAATAAAAACTGAGAGTCATCCTTTATCTCCATATTCTGCCTCACGTGACCGTACACCGAGTTACGATAATACTTAACTCTTGCTAAATCTGCCTCTAAACAGTGGTCTGTACTTGCCGGTGGAGCATCCCAGCCTGTTGCAGGAGGGGTTAGGCTGCATATCGACCTCAGTAATTTAAAGAGGAGAGTGATATCAAACTCTTTTGACTCGCCGTACACCCCTGGGGAGGGGGTAGAGACAATCCCACTGTGGCTTAGTGAGCTTTGCTTTTTTGAGGTCCTTGACTGTAACATGATTTTTTAATATTGTCGGAAGAGAAGCTGGTGGACATCTGCTGTCAAAAACATCTCTCAACAGTGCGCTACCACCACATATTAAAAGGCGCGCGACACGTTGAAAATTTTCTTTCTCACTAGTCGAGCGAAGGTCTTCATAAGGGCTTGATGCTGTAGCCATCTTATAAGTTGAACTTTCATCCCATTATTAAGGAAACATGCGTCGTTGGAATAACTCAGCAGCCTGAGAATAACGTAAATTACTTTTAGAAGTTGACCATTTTGTTCTGCACAATGCGCACCTGTACTTTTAAGTCATGGAGTGCGAAGAAATAATGCAGGGGAATGGAAAGAGCTTCTTAAATTACTGACGGACAACGTAAGGGTTGTCTGTGGATGCGCAAATCGTCTCATACTTATACACCGCCCTTTCCTTATTTTTTTTGTCTAGAGGTTTGTATTTGAAATAAGACGAAGTTAACACTAGAGGTGAGTTTTTTCGGATTCGTAGATGATCCAGGATTGATCAATTTTAGGATTACTGGATTCGTAGGCGTGAACATTGAAAGGATAACTGGTATTCTCGGCTGTTTACACACGTTGATATATCTAAGAACACTCAAAAAAATTTTTTTTCCACTCGCTGGCTATGTTACAAATGCGTTATTAAGCAGGCCTCAGGTCGAGATCGATGAATATTGGCCGGGTTCCTTTTTGACCGAACAGGCTACAGCAGAAAGCTTTGCTTTAATTTGAATCAGGAATGACTTGTTTTGATGTTTTCGAGCGCTGGTCCTGTTTTTTATTTGCCCCTTCGCTGAAAAGCTCCACGTAAGTAGTAGAAGCGTTAGGCGAGCTCACCGAGGTTTCGATCATTGTGCTTCCTGTGAATTATAT